GTCACATATCTCAATATCATCATCAAAAGCAATGTTACTTCTCGACAATGTCACAATATTGTTTTTGTAGCATTGAAATTGACATTGTCATCATTACAATGTCATTCGTTAAATCATTGACATTATCATTTTTGCGATGTCATTATTATAATGTCATTGTTAAATCATTGACATTATCATTTTTGTAATGTCATTTTTTAATTTTTTAAAAGTGTTGATGTTGTCATTGTCATTGTCATTATTTGACATAGTTTCATTTTTCATGATATTATCATACGGAGTACATTGTAAATAATGTGTTTTCCACAAAAGCAATATTTTTTAAATCATTGCCATTTTTCAAATATGTTGTTTCCTATAGCATTGATATTGTCCTTATTAGAAGCCATTTTTGACAATGTAATTTAATGTCATTGTTCAATACAATGCAATAAAATCCATCTAAACACAAAGGCAACATTATTGATATTTATCATTTTATTATATACTATGAAATGATTTTTTGCCAAAATAAATACTCGGTAATAAAATCCTTTCCAGAAAATTAATTGCATTAGATGAAGTAATGAATCTGGAATACAAAACAGAAAAGCAAAAATAAATAAATAATACTGTACGGAGTATTAATAAATAAATAATATGAAAGGCTAGTACATGCTCCTTAATTAGATGGCCAAATAAGACCCTAAGATAGCCTTTCCTCCACCAAATTGAAAATTAAAACAAATGGCTACGAAGAGTCCTTCCTTCACCAAATTGAAAAATAAAAACAAATGGCTACGGAATCAATGCAGCACGGCAGCACCAGAAAACTCAATACAAGGGAGAAGAGTGGAAAAAGAAGAAGAGAAGATCCGGTGGCGATCGTTCCATCGATAAGTTGCGGCTGACCAATCCAGATACAGGCATAAGCGACTACTCCGACCACGACGAACGGCGATGAACTTAGTAGTGAAGGTATTGATGTATACGGAGCTCTGTTTCTGCTCCGTCGATTTCCTTCCTGCGCAATCCTCCGTCAACTTCCTTTTGGATGTATATGGAGCTATGTTTCTGTATGTTGTTGGGCCGTTGGCAAAGGCCACAAGGGTACTTATGTCTTTCCGTTAAAAGTTGGTCCTATTTGGGAGTTAAAAAGTTGGGAATTTTACTAAAGAACGGAAATAATATCATCTTTGTTCATCCTCAATTTTCTTTTCAAAAATGGACCATAACGGAGTTTCTTTTCACTATTAAACCTTCAACTCTACGAAGTACGGAGTAATTCCCTACGTAGTGAAATGGTGCAAGAAGAAGAATGAAAATGGATGTGACAAGTTTATAGTACTCCATAGTACTTTATACCTACAATTATACGTGGTAATATAATACCACAATCAAATTCAAAAAAGCAAAAAGGTACAGAAATAATATTTTTGTTGATAGTAGGTACAAAAATAATATAAAAATATAAAAACCATAAAATAGTGAAAAAAAAATTAAAATTCTGGAAATTAGGATACAAATTAAAAATAAAGGAAAAATTCACACTAATAATCTCAACTATTAGCTATCTTCTCATATTAATCCCAAATATGAGTAATTCTAAAATAATACCAACTTCATATGTAATCTTCTTATGTTGAACCTAGGTGACTTGTTACTTACTAAGCAGGTAAAAGAAAAATGAGAAAAAAGTGAGAGAAAATAAAACACGGGGATTTGGGGATCGGCCTTCACCCTCCCCCCTTTCTGGCTTTCTCTAGTTTTATTCTAAGTTTTTTCTTTTTTTTCTTTTAATTTCCTTCTCGGCTTCTTTACCCCAGTTCTGTTCTATTCTATAGCAGCCATAGCCATGCTTCTTGATTTCTTCTCAACAATTTTTATAATTTCGTTTATTTCACATCTTTGCTCCCTCCTGATGCAATTAATCGATGGGCATTGACAATAAAGCACAACACTCGTGACAAATTTCAAGTGATATCAGCGAGTTTATTACTCCGGATGTCTTCCCCGGCGAAGCCACGACGAAGTTCCGGCGACATGAAACAAAAAAATATAATTCAAGTACGGAGTAATTTATTTCTCATGAACAAGCTAAGGACCCGACCGAAGATCGAACTAAAAAAACTACCATACAGGTGATACAGAACACTATGCTAGTGGCTTACCAAAGGTCCAAAGCTCGACCAAGGACTTGAGATGCTTCCAATGAAAAGGAAAAGAAAACAGAACAACAAATGAAGAAAATGGAGTTGGAGAATAAGAGGAGAATCCAGAGGACTGAAAAGAAAAATTCGAAGTCAGCAAAGAAGAAGGGATACCAACTGGGAGCAGGGGGAGACTCACCGGGAAGGGGAGAGAAGAAAAAGAAAATAAGTTGAAAAAGTAGGAAGCCCAATTAAAACAAGCCACATGGCAAAGTGACCTGTTTAGTAGGTTTATGCAGGTCACAAGATTAATACAAGAAGATACACCCTATAATTTAGATTATATTAGAATTATCAATTGTAGGGATTAATATTAGAAGAGAGTTGATAGTTGGGATTATTCTTATGAATTTTTCCGAAAAAAAAAACGAAATATGTAAATATTTATGAAGATAATAAACATGTAAACTAAAAGGGAAAAAATATAAATAAAAAATGTATAAAAATAAAAAATATTATACACTTGAAAAATCTAAAAACCAAAATTTTATAAATAAACATGTAAAAGAAAATATAATTTTTTTTGAATCTAATAAAAATATCAAACATAGTTATATACTCCGTATAAGAATTAAAGAGTAATATGTGTAATATACAAAGAGAAAATACATTAAAAAACTCAAAATACATATATAAATTTTGAAATTTCCATAATTTCAAATTAATTTGTATAATAACAAAAATAAAAAAAATAAAAAAGTTAATATAAAAATTAAATTAAACTAAGAGAAAATTGTTTTTAAACTGTTAAATAATATCAAAAGTAATTAGGATTTTTAATGACACAGTAATATTTTTGAAAAAATATAAATATATTCATATTAAAACTTAATAAAAAGAATAAACTAAACATATAATTTTATATAGTAAAAAAATCAAATCAAATTTTACAAAATACTAGAAAAAATTAGATATATTACAAAAAAAATATAAAAACAGAAATTTAATACTCAGGGTATATATATCTTAAAAGAGTGTAAAATTAAGATATAAAAAAAATTTGAATTTTGTAACATAATATTTATTAAGGTAATACAAAATATCAATTACACTTTATTGTTAGTTTTTTGGGCAATTGTTTCTTTGTGTTTCCTTTTGTTGATAACTATGAAATTTTTGTTTTTCATTGTTTCTTTTTTTGCAATTTTTTTATTGTTTCTTTGTGTTTCTAGTTGTTGTTTATATTCATAAATCCAAATTTATTATTTTAGATGTTTGTATATAAATCTATTCAGCTACTTTTAATTCAAAGAAGTCTAAATCAACAATGAAAAATAGTAAGCAACACTATGCAACAAAGAGTAACATGGTGCAACAAAAAGTAATATGGTGCAACAAAATGCAACACATTGAAACAAAAAGCAATACATGCAATACAACAAGAAGCAACAAAAAATATTATACTTCATATAAAAGTATCATAATGAATACATCAATATATCATCTCTAATCAACAATAGTGGCATACACCATCAACTAGGAGTCACCTAGATGAATGAAACTCAAGAAAGCTTCAATGAAAATGACGAGAAGTCCTTTTTGTACAAACCAGGCAGTAGCAATTTCTAAAGTTCCGAAAATCAAAATATAAATTTGACCATAGGATATGAATCTAGTGCAGTAACAACATACTAAAATTTAATGAGTACTGAAGTTCATTTAGTCCTCGATAGTAGCCAATCTATCAACTGCACTCTAGGGGAAAATGCTTCATCCTCACTTTTTCCTCCTCACATACCTTTTCTGTCCGTTTTTTGTTATCCTCTTCTCTTGTTATTATTAGAAGTTAGAATGAAGAAAGCTAAGTTTTGACAATCTTGAGGGAAAAGCCAAGTTCCAGACTTCTAGGTTGTATGATGGGACCTGCACCCACAGAGCATCAAAGTATTTACAAATTAAGTTCCCATGGACTATTTTAAACTGCATGGAGTAATATGCATATATTAAAAAAAAAAACATAACATCTAAAAACGGATTGTGCATCTATTGTTGTATTTTCTTTGATTCTTTTATCATGTCCATAGGAGTTGCAATGTTGAAATTTAAACATCTCGGTAGGTGGAACCCCTTGCTAAATACAACATATTATGGATGGGTTAGATTTTTCATATCCCTTGGACATAATTTTTTTCATGTCCCTAGGAGATGCTTGGAGGTTTTTTAGTTTAGTTGCTCTCAATTTTAATGAATGGGTCAAAATATGACTAGGATGTTGTTGATGTGATTAAATTATACCTGCAATGTCATCATAATTTAAACGAATGATTTCAGAAAACATCATTGACATGAGCAAGACAAAAAAAACAGAGCTCAATACTAGTGAATAATGTTCACATAATGACATAATTGATTCAAATAGAAATCCAATATATACAAATAAGTCAACTACAGATGCTAATTAAGGTAATCATAATTCTTCTAGAAGTACACTCAATTTGAGTAGCCAGTATAATGAGGAAACATGAGCAATTTAGATATTGTCCAAAAGAAGATTCATCTGTGACTTTGGTAGATATTCTAATAGAGTAATAGGTAACATTGCAGCTTGTATCTCATTGAAAGCAAAAATCAGCTTAAACATGAAGTAATATAGCTAAATACAGTTGAATTATAGATTCATAAAATTTGGCTCGTAGGTGTATTGTATGTTGAAACAAACTATTAATATAACACCAATACTATTAATAAATAGTTAGTTGATGCATATAATTCCAGAAAGTGAAGCATAACCACTATGATTAGCAGAAAATAGGCTGCTACTGTAGCATATAAGCTCCTAATTTACTCCGGAAATAACATGTTAAGATACCTTGTACTATCCTCTTAATGAGAGAATTTCATTAGCGACTAAGCACTCTCTATAGAAACAAAATTTCATTACAGTTGCATAAACTAAATATAGTAGCACAATCCATGACTTAATTGTAGCATATAGAAAGCAATTGCAACAACACACTTACCAGAACAGTCCTGGACTCCTAGGCTTTAACATCACAAACCTCTTGACTACTTTCTTATTCCTCTATGTCTTTTTCCCTAGTAAAAAATCTTAAATTACAAATCAACTCAGGTAAATTACAAAATTTAGAAGCAGCGGCAGCGATAATATAAAATAACAAGAAGAATCTATCGGATAGCCAATGTAATGTGGGGAGGGATTATTGGTTCCAGCTGTTGCTTGGCATGACTTCTGCAAACTTCTTCTCGTTCCAACTCATCGGGATCTAGTGGTGTATGCAACAATTCTAGCGGCATGGATGGATTGATTATGATTTGTTGAAGCCCAACACAGTTTTCCACAATGAACATCACTACTTCCATATCACTACAACGGCCGTAATAGCCCAAGTACTGGAACACCTTAAGGTGTTGGTGTGGAAATGGTGTCCCCTTGTTCACTTCTCTGCTAGCACATGACAACATGCAAGCAGCAAAATTCCAGAATCATTTGAATAACACAAGCATACTAACAAAACCAGAACACTGTGATTATAGAACAACATCCAAGCCTCAGTCCCAAAAGATTGATTTTGGGGTCGGCTGACATGGAATCGATACATTATATCGGAGCCAAAAGGAAAAGAAAGATAAAAAGTAAGCTATGATAAAATGGGGAAAAGGGGAAAAAACATACAAAAAGCCAAATGATAACGCACAAATAGTCAGACCCACCCACCATCAACAAAAACTCTTCTAGGTTGGGAGATATCCTCATGAATATCATTAGCCCAAGAACACTTGCATCACGTTCTGGGGTAAAATCTACAACCAGCTTCTTCAACTCGAGCAGCTCAGGGAAGTTAAACCGCGCAATATCATGATCCTGCAAGCAAAGTGGTAAACAACTCTAAGGAACCAATAATATATATACAATACCAGTAACATCAGAGCCTTATTCCCAAAAGATTTTGGGGACAAGGCAGCAACTGTGTTGGAGTAAATATTTGATTTAATGATGGTTGTTAGGACGTTTTTATGTATTAATAAGACAATTAATGTAATTAAGGAGGAGATTGACTACAATGAAACTGTCATAACGGACGAAACGTTCGGGAGATCATTAATTACTTCTCCTATAAATAGGAGTTATCCCATTCTAAATGGCATACTTTCTTATTCAAAAATACACCGAGTTCTACTCTTAATTAATTTTACCTTATAGCCCCACGGCAGCCGCAAGGTAAGAATCTCCAATTGGGAAAAGCAACAAGATAGTGCAGGAACTAACAATGGCATGTGACGTTTCTGACAGGTAATAGCTAAATCCACCAGCATTGGAACATTCTCAAGCACGAGTCCTTCTGTTATCGAAACAGCAAGTGAAGTAAGGTTTGGTGCTGATACCTTAATGGATTCCAAACCAACGCAAAAACTTTCATACAGGCTTTTTAGCACGAGAGATGGACCACGAACTTCTAGATTTGATAATTGATTTATGTCTTGAAGAACTAATTGCTCCAGTGATGTGCAGTTGCGCAAGAAAAACTCAATAGCTTCATCACTGATCGAGATATTCTTAAAGCACAGCACTTTCAAGGAATTGAAGTTGTAAAGTGTAGTAGTTTGGTGAGGGATGTCAATGCTCTTTCGGAACAAGATGTCTTCAGGGAACACGTACTGTTTCTCTGATTCGTTATCGCCATATTCCAGAAGGTTCAACTCCAACCTCTCAACTCGTCTCTTAAAAGCAAACTTCAGCCACTTTGTAATGGTCCCAGAGAATCCTTTCCCTACATCAAAACAGATCCTGAAGTGCTCCAAGTTGAGCGCTTCTTTGCGTGGTGCAGATTTCAGGACTGAGTTCACCCACCTTACATACATGTGCCTCTCCTCACAACGTAGCTTGGGATCTCGAGCAATCTTGTCCAATGCGCTGCTTGCATTAAAATTGAGGCGTGAGGTTTGTTTCCACAAGTTCTTCCAACTAGATGAAAGAACACTCGTGCGCCCAGCTTCCTTCAGCGGAAGAGAAGACAATATCACAACAAGAATGTCATCTGGAAGGCGACTCATCCAATCATAATTGTCCAATCTCTCAGCAGCACACTGTAATACCCAACAATATACAATTATATAAGGGAATTCAGAATTGCCTCGAAGGGTGAGACCATATGTCACACTCCAAAAAGATAGCTAGTTCGACTATAACTTGTGACACCCCCAAATATGCCTCACCCTACCATCATAGCCCAAATTGACATACTTAACTGCCAATTTTCGCCCCTTAAGGAGCCTATTTTTTCCCCCAAACTAAAAAAAAAGGCTCAACTTTTTAAAAAGGCACGAATTAGTTTGATGTACACTCTTATTCAAAAAAAAAGTTTGATGTACACTGAAGAGACTGACGTGAACCAAGGCGGCAGTTTTTTCCTGAGAGCTAATTGATAAATAAAAACTTTTGATAAATAAAAACTTTTGATAAACTTTTGATCAATTCATAATTGATGTACACTGCCGCCTTGAGTCATCTGTGTTTTCCTGAAGACACTGCAGTCTTTGATGTAGACTTCTAGATTTGAGAATTGATTTATGTCTTGCGCAACTGCACATCACTGGAGCAATTAGTTCTTCAAGACATAAATCAATTATCAAATCTAGAAGTGTACATCAAAGACTTCAGTGTCTTCAGGAAAACACAGATGACTCGAAGGAGGCAGTGTCCATCAATTATCAATTGATCAAAAGTTTATCAAAAGTTTTTATTTATCAATTAGCTCTCAGGAAAAAACTGAGACGTGAACCAAGGCAGCAGTGCACATCAATTATCAACTTTTGATAAATAAAAACACAGCAGTATTTTGTAGCTTTTAGGACAACAAAGGCCACAGTTTTTTCCTGAGAGCTGACCTTCTTTAGTTGAAACCTGGAATCACAGATGACAGAATTCCCACCCATCAAAGAATGAATCTTTAGGCTCCAAAACAATATCTACAGAGAAATAAATCCACTGTTAGGGGTTCGATAGGTCAAAAGATTCAAAAGAGATGAAAAACTGAAGCCACCGTGAACTGTATATAATTGCCTGCTTTTTAAAGCAAATTGAGCCACCACCTGCTCCAATCTTATTTGAAGAAAAGGTACTGTATAATACACCAAGCAGAACCCACCAGGAAAAAGTTACCTCTTTGTTCCCAGCAGCGCTTTCAGGAGCTTGCCTTGTTAAGTCAGTAGGATCCAAGAGTAGTGAAGCTGAGCTTTATGAAGCCTCTAATCTTGATGAGAGTGATTATATTAAAAGCAAAGCTAGCGGTTTTCCTCTGATTCAATTAGGATTGGTTTTTCCTACTGTCTGACTTTTCGTATGGATTATTAGATCGCGTATGGTATGGGTTGTCGCAAACGAGCAAAGATCAGATCTTTCTCTATCAAACACCAATCGACATAATCCTGAACATTGATCTCCAGGAGGCAGGAGCCTTTAAGCGGGCAGGAGGATAGTGGAGCTTGTGGTGTGTTGGCCGGGGAGGTTCCGGGAGTGGTTGAGGATGAGTCACGTCGTTTTCGGTCTCACACTTAAACACGTCATTAACAGATTACATCAAAACAGACAAAAAATGTTTCTATATTCCCAAAATATACAAACGTTTGTATATTTTATTCTCAAAATAAGACTAATTAATGTCATGTTTTGGAGCATGTCAATACCAGACATTAAACATGGCAGTATTTTCTAAACTTGACAGTAATTGCTCCTATTTTAGGAATAAAAACATGACAATCTTATTTGAAAATTTTCAAACTTATTTAATCTTATTTTTAGAATTTTCCCAATTTTGTAATATAAAATTATTTTGAATATGAAACTTATACTAGTATCAAAATTTCCTTACTCAACATATTTTCATTAAATTATAAATTATACTCCCTCCGTCCCAGGGAGAAGTTCCCACTTTCCTTTTTTGGTAGTCCCAACAAAAAGTTCCCATTTCCCTAAATGGAAAGTTATCCTACATCAAAACAATGTCAAACAGTGCAAAACAGTGCCAAACAATGTCGAAACAGTGCCAAACAGTGTCGAAACAGTGTCAAACAGTAAAATTTACCCCTCAGTAACTTTATTTCCTAAATATGTGTGAAAGTCAACCCGGGAACTTCTCCCTGGGACGGAGGGAGTATATATTATATACAAATATAATAATTCAAATCGTTGTCCAAATTTTGTCATCATTGAGCAGGGAAAGTCAATATGGCGGACTTTTTCGTGATGCAGGTAGTATAATTAATAAATATAATTAATTGTCATTAGTTTCCTAGCATAATTAGAAAAGTGTGTTGCAGTGGCAATGAAATGTGTAACGTTTTTATGATCCACTAACAGGCGGCGGTGGAACTTCGACCGCCACAAGCGATAACAACATTATTGTATTGGGTATTTCGTCCAATAACAAAAAAAAAAACTCATTTTAGAAATTTTCATCAACAACTCTTATTTTTCGTTTTTATGATGTTTTACTGATATAATTGAAATTACTTCTATGAAAAACTTTAACCGCTCTATTTACTCATCTTTTAAGAATGTTAGTTCTCGTCTTGTTCTTTCATTAAAAATGCCTAAAAATTGGTTTGGTGCTTCTAAGAGCGATGATTTGTTCCCTAGTGTATCTATGATTGTTATTATCTCGTCGATTTTGACAATCGCTTTATAGGTTATTTATGTTTAAATTAGCAACGCGAGTTGCTATAGTATGCTATATTATTTATTTGCTATTCATGAAGACATTATTCCAAGTGTGTTGGGGATGCTCCGCGAGGATGAGTGACCTGAACAATATGCTACATTTAAATATGGCTATCCTCGAGTTTCATGTTTTATTTTTCTTAAATAGGATTCAACATTATAATTTTATTCTTAACTAGCATGTTACTCGTTCATACGCACGGGGAAAAGCATTTGATCCATATATACTACGTATTTTTCTTCACGATCTGAATAAATGTAAAAAAAGTTTTTTTTTACAATTTTACATCATTTAACAAATGGAGTACAATAAGTGATCGAATATCAAAAAGTATAAATTCATACAAGAAATATTCAAAGTGAAGAAAATTAAATTAAAAATATCGACATCAACCATTAGAATTTGCTACATAATACTCCCTCCGTCCCAATATAAAAGGCACACTTTCCTTTTCGGTCCGTCCCAATATAAAAGGCACATTTCCCTTTTTGGCAAACAAAACAGTGCAAAACAGTGCCAAACAGTGTCAAACAGTGTCCAAACAGTGCCAAACAGTGTCTAAACAGTGTCAAACAGTGTTCAAACAGTGTTCACCCTTAAAAACTCCCCAAACGCAAATGTGCCTTTTATATTGGGACGGAGGGAGTACTATGTAATGGAAAAAAACGCTACATATGAGAGATAAATTCTCCTACTCAATTTTTAGTCCGCTTATCCTATCTTACACTTAAAGGTAGGGGTGGGCAAACAGGTACATGAACCGTGGGTCGGGCCATGTAATACGGGTTCGGGGCGGGTTAGGGCTAGGTCCTAATTTTGGAAAACCCAAATGGGGCAGGGTGAGTCCTAAAAAATTTAGGAACCGTACGAATATTAGAATTTGAAAAAATGGGTAGCGGACCAACCCGTTTAAAAATATATTTTTTTTATCGAAGAGGGCTTATATCATTAAATTAGCATTCAGCAGGGGTGCAGGATAATAAAAGAACCACAAATAACCATCCGCCCTTGGTCGAGACTCAGAGTTAACCACCTTTATCAAAGCAGTATAACTCACTAGACCTGAATTGGGCAACATAAAGCCAATGACGGTTACCGTAGATCTCTCATCCCCCAAACATAATGCAAGAGTCTTACAAAAAAAACATGAAAGTAAAACAGAAACATCCAACCATGAAATAAACAGATAAAAGAAACATTAAAACTAAATCCAGTACTTGTCTTCCCAATCACCATCTTCAGATAAAAAGCTCGGCGGGCCTAAAGAGCTTGGCCCGCCGCCTCCCCATTTTTTGGCCCATCTTAAGCCATTCCCTCTCCAGCTATACCTCCCTTGGTCTGACTTTCCCATATTCTTCTGCGTTTAGTGTCGCCCGGGGTTTCTTCCTTACCATCCGTCTTGCCCTGTTAGGATATGCTAGCCTCTGAATCTGCTGAATACTCTCCCCCGAGATCAGACTTCCTCTGAATCTGCTGAATACTCTCCCCCGAGATCAGACTTCCGTTGTTGACCGTATCCACCCGAACTAGAAGCCTCATTAACTAACCACTTGTTAGGTCCTGTAGGGTTTGTCTTCACCCTTCCTCCAGCTCTGAGATCAGCTCCATAAGATTTATCAACAACAAAACCTTCCTCATATTTCAGTGGACAGAATTTATCCGAATGCCCAATTATCCTACACAAAAAAACAGAAACTGGGTAGCTTTTCGTATTTAAAGTCCACCCAGTGTTTGACCTCATCCTTAGTTAAGGTAGTGCCTTTTTTCAAAGGCCTACACACATCCAAAACAACTCATATACGGAGATAAGATTTTTGATTGCCTTCTAAGTGACTTTTTCAAACTTAATAAGAGAGCCTAAAACATTCCCAATCTTCCTGGCAGATCCCAAATTCCTAAATTTAATAGGGACATTATGAACCTGTACCCAAAAACTAGCCTCAAACAAATTCATTGATTCAGGTATGTCATCTGGTTGAACTGCTTTTAGGAGAATTAAATCACGTTCAAACAGCCATGAACGATCATCCTCAATCACATGATTCATATCCAAGAGCTCTTGGAATCCCAACAGCTTTACCTTTCGGTCCGTGACCACGATCCCCACCATCGGAAACACCTTCGGTGTTTCAGCCTCCTCGCAGTCCTCCGCCACCTCGTCGTCGAAGTTGAGTTCATTCTCCTTCTCGTCGATAGCCATCTTCTTATATGTATTGACAATATCCTCCATTCAAGCCTTCTTCGTTCGTTTGCCCGAGTCCCAATCGAACCAATCTATACTCCCACTGCATGTCCGACAAAACAGCCACACGCAAGTTCATCCAAGCAACAAGCACCTCCCCTGCCTTCGATCGTCTTTACCGCACCAGTCCCTCCGATCTTCGAAAGCCTCGAAATCGGAAAACGAAACCCTAGCGGCCACCGCCCTAAAGAGCTCTGAAGTTTTAGAGAGGTAAACTCTCGCTCCGTTGATTCCAAACTTATTTTTGTTTAAAAATATTTTTTTTTAAAAGTCTATTATATTTAATATAATATACTAAAAACAACCAAAAAATTTCATATTCATGAATTATTAAAAAGAGTTTCTAAATCCTTATAAGCTTCTAAATTAATATTCCCACTTTATTCCAAATGTATCAAATGTTCTTTATTTCTTTAAATACAGACTCTTGCTCAATAAAGTGTGCCATATTAATTTAATTATCTTAATTTTACTTACATTTTGAGATTTATTGAGCTTTAAATTGTTTTCTTAAAAATATACGTATAGTGACTAGTCTAATTTATTATGATTTTGTGGTGCTATCTTTTTAGTTTATGGATGATGATGTCTAATTTTTTATATTTCAAAGATTGGTGTTCTTTGACTTGTGTAACTGTGTGCTATTTAATTTATACATTTGTGGTTAGATATTTTGTCAACTAGCTCAAAACATTGTTATACATTTTTATTTTGAATTTTTACTACTAGTAGATTATAGTGACATTGACACTTAATTAGTTTAAAAATTTTATTGCGTACTAGATATTTTGATAGTGTAGCGCTATTTTTTTAAAACGAGATCCCGGACTGACCCGACCCATTTCAAACGGGGCGGGAAAGGCCCAATTCCTATATCGAGATTTGATATACCCGGACCGAACCAACTCATTCAATAGAACCGGTTGTTCCTAAAAATTTATCAATTATCCGGATCGACTCGGACCGTGTCCGCCCCTACTTAAAAGCACTATGAGAGAGAGAGAGAAAGTTATTCTGCTCAATTATTAGTACACTTATTTTCTTATACCTAAAAAGGCTGAAAGCACTACGTATGAGAGAGATAATTTTTTTACTCAATAATTAATCCTCTTATCTTCTTATACTTTAAAGCACTACATATGTGAGATGAAATTATGCTGCTCAATTATTAGTTCGCTTATCTTATACCTAAAAACACTACATATGGGAGAGAAAGAACTTTCCCTTCAAACCTTCGATTGACCGATGTTCGGCCAGCTCGAGTGAAGGTTGAGGTATGAGAGGCCTTAGTCTCTCCCTCATATCTACCGAGTGACTACATCCACTGAACGGGCGATAGAGTGGTGCGCTCCATCTTGGCGGTATACACGGTGTGCTCCATGTCTCCTTGGTTGGCCATGTTCTTCACGGTATCCGTCATTGCCCTCGGAAAACGAGAATCGCGACGGGCCTCAATTAGGATCAATTGGGCAAGGTCTCCCTGTCCTGCCCAGGGTTGCCCACCCACTGCTGGATGGTTCACTGGAATAGAGAGCGTGTGATCTTATACTTTCGCGCAATCGCTCAGAGAGGT